ACGCCACTAGCAAAGCTCAAAACAATAACAAATGAGCAAAACAAAAAGGAAATAATTCGCTGTTTTAACATGTGTTATAAGGACGGAAGCTCGATTTGAATGTCAGCATGATCAGGGAAAATGCGATCTTTCCTCTGTGATGTTTGTTCAATACCTTAAGTTTCGAAATGTGATCAAGGCTTATTGAACGTTCGGTTAGCAAAAAAAAAGAAAAAAAAAACAGATCGATAATTGTTACAAGAAGGTGAAGTTACTTATGGCACTAGACAAATCCCTCTTGCAGACAAAAATTGTAAGTGTCACTTTTCTTTGACTTGTTTACCTAGACAACGCAACAAAAGTCATATTAAACTAACTATATGTATTTTTCTCAGCTTCTAGAATCAGCCTCGGCATTCCAAAAATGGTTAGTTTGATTTCAGTTGAATCATTTCGGCTACCGACTAACTTCAATGTATGACTCGTTATAAGACCCCATTAACGTTATTTAAACTGTTATCGGTTCGGTTTCCACGGATTGTGACCTCTATTACGACCTCCATCTCAAGTGCATTTGTAAGACCCACTGGTAGTCTCCTATTTCATTGCCATGGAAAAAACATGATTGACAATAGAGGAAATACCCCAGCGCTATGATTCGAGATAAATATACATCCCAATGCGGCGACCTGGTTAGTGTGAGCAACAGACCACTTGGCGCTTACATAGATTTGTTACAAAAGAAAATGAATAAAAATAACTAAAAAATCAAAATGCTATCGCGTTTTCTAAATTACTTTTTAGAAAAGCATATGCTGCGGTGGATGCACACTTCCGGGTCTCTTTGTTCGTTTTGTGTCAGTTTTCTCTTGTCTTTGTTTGTTTTTTTTTTTTGTTTTCAAGGCGAAAAAGTTTTAGATTTAAATTTTTCTTTGAGGAGAAGGGTTATAGAGCCTTTCGATTTAAAATCGTTTCAAGGAGTCTTCTGCAAACCTAACAACAGCTATAGCTACTAAACGAAACACAAAGAGCGCTTTGATCGGCTAAATTGATGTCTTTATCAGCTCGGCACAAAACCCTTTTTAGGATGAAAGACGAAGGGTACAAACAGGAAAATGTTTGAAAATAGTTACAAAACATGTGTACTTAGTGCATCTTGAATGCTGGAGCAGGAATGCTCTTAGCACGAGGAAAATCTCCCAGTCTAGTATAATATGGACTTTAAGGTTGCCGACTACGGTTGGCTGCGACGGTTGGATGTGTCTTCGGTAGACTGGGTCGAGTACCATTTAAGGGCGCGAAAGTTTAACGCTTGTTGTCCTTAAAGATTTCGCCGACAGACTGAAGACGGTGGTTAACTTGCCATTCGAAGATGTCTTTTGAAGATGTCAGAAACGCGCTAGTAGTGGCTTATGCCAATGATTCCCTAGATGATGAAGAGCTTTTGATTCTTTACGATTTTTACGTGTCCGTTAATACACTATATATATATATATATATTGGAATTTTGATCCGTTTTGTTTCGATTCATTCGAGTGTCTCTAAGTCCAGCAGCCGAACAGGGTTTCTAAAATACCCCGTATCTGGCAATTAAATTTCTTCACAAGCTACCTTTGGAAAGATCTTTTAAAATTCTAAGAATAACAGATGTATGTTTAGAAATGTCAAGCGATTTCAGAAATTATTTAAGTTTTTAGTGGACCAATTTTCTGCTCACATGAAGCATTTCCATGCTCGTTTTTTAGACCTGACCCCTAAATCTATTAGTACCGTTGAGACCTGGCTGTTAAAAATCATACAAGACTTTGAGAATAATTAGCTTAGCATCAGTGACAGATAATTCATTGTACTAGAATGAGAGTCTCAGATAATTCCCTCTATTGGACTGAGAGTCTCAGCTCGAATTATGAATACTGATTACTACTCTTTCTCTGTCATTGGTTGAAAATTGAAACGATAAATGCTTGCATATACAGTCTTCTGTGGTTCCCTCAAAGACAATAACCGCAATATGGTCAGAATGGTAAAATTTCAGAGCTGTTCTCGGATCATGATAGCGCTTGAAAAACCATAACCTTTGTGGCGGCAAAGGACAATGGACAATGCGCCATACCTCTCGAAAGAAAGCCGGGTGTGCGCGCTCTCCCTCCCTGCACACGACTGGCGTCAAAATACAACTTAGTGTCATTCACAGGGTTAAACTAAGGAGTAAAAAAAGGTAGCGCCCATTATCTGAATGGTGATCTGCGCTTATGCGGGTTTGACACTTCCTTAATTTCTCTTACTCAAAAACGTATACTTTGCCATCAGGTTGTGTACAGTAAAGATGAAAGAAATAAAATTTGAGCAGGGACACTCTCTAAAATGCTACACGACTAAATAACAAATAAAAATCATCCGCAGGGATAGCTCAATCGCGTTTTTAACAACTGGCCAAAAGCGATCCTCCCACAGACAACTTGTTTAGGAAACTGGTATTCGGGCATGTGCCATTTGTTCAATTACATCGCTTTTTACCCCATTTCTGGTTGTTTCGTTTTGTTTGAGGGAAGGTTAAAGTTACCACTGGGAAAGTTTTAACCATAAAACCTTTTGCGTTTTATGAGTATTTAAGCCCGACTTGCTACTGATATTGGAAATTGAAATAAATGGTATTAGTACTCACAATCTACGAAGAATTGCCTCCGGGCACGCCCTCATTAGATGCAATTCGGCAAGAGCGTCACTCAGCCAGTAGTAAAGTATAAAGCTTTGAGCAACGCGAGCCGCCGAGAGGTTTGCCCCGGTTTTTAATAATAATAATAATAATAATAATAATAATAATAATATAAAAATAAAGGTTTATTAGCGTATCCATCGGAGGGGTGGCTTTTCTATACTACAAACTAACTATGAACTAATTAAAAATCTATCATTATTACAATATTGCTAATACTGCATACTGCGTTTTACATATAAAAATTATCTAAGGCTTCTATTTAAGGATCAACTTACATATTTAAGAGGTGACCATAACTGACCAATGTAATTATATACAAATACTAGCTAAGGCATTTAGCAGCGACGATCAGCTTTTGTACGAAATACGGCTGATTATTCTCGTAGGTGTATTGCCGCTTTCGCTTGGAAGAAAAAATAGTGTTTAATTTTTTTTTTTTAATTTTCCAGTTCCTTTGCGTTCTTTAGCAGTTTGTTAAACACTTATGCTGCACAGTCTTGAAAGGTTTCAGAGACCTGTAGTACAACTAAATTGAGTACCAATGAGGATCGCAAAGTGCGCTGGTAAACAAGCACCTCCAAGGGGAGATATGGAGGCCATTTTTCACAATTCAGCGCCTTGTAAGCGAGTTTGCACAGGTTCCAGCTCATGTTATGTTTGACAGACAGCCAGTCCACTTTCAAGATATCTGATAAGTCTACATATTTGCCAGTGGACACGCTGCAGCCGATTAATAAAATAATTTGGCACTTGATAAAATAAAACATCATTATAACCGATTCTTGACAGAACAAGACATTCAACCAGTTATTTTCTTGCATGGAAGGGTGCAAGATGCCTCATTTTTCTGAGTATACTGCTGAGCAAGCGTACCGTAATATACTGATGTTTTAGATGGAATGTGGCGGTTCCGTTTCAGTGCTCATGTAGCTCTGATCCAAGGAGTTTGGCTGACTTTACCCCCTCAAGATTAATTCCATTTGCGCTGAGACGCGACTGATAATCCTGGAGACTGTGAACACGGGCAAGCTGTTCGGTTCAAGCTGATTGGTCTTGCTCTGTTAAAACTGGGAAACTTCTCCATGAGTCGTTTCAAATGTTCCAGTAAGCGAAAAGACGCGCGTCCTGCAGAGCTAATGTTGAGGGCCTGCTCACAGGCTAACTTTGAACCCTTTAGCCCTTAAGAGTGACTAGCATCTAATTTCTCCTTACTATATCATCCCTAAATCAAACATGAAAGTTATGAGAATGGAAGAGATGATCACCAACTAAAGCAGCTCTTGACTGTTAAACAAATTCTCCTTGTCAACCTCTTTGAGAATGTATGGAGAGCAGTATGGAGAATATGCACACTGATGTTGGGGGGGAGGGTAAAAGGTTAAACAAACACGCCACGATTTATACAATAAATATCCACAAGTTTAATTTAATCCAGTTTAGTGTGGAATCTCACACCCGTTTGCATTTACGATAGAAAGTCAACTGGGACTTACAAAAGCTTTTTACTTAAAATAATATACACACCACAGCCCTTTACAAGAGTTATAACTTATTGCATATATCTTCCACTTAGCGGTTTTAACGTACCTGCGACTCAAGTAAAGAGCAGTATAAAAGATAAGCAAACGCATGCAGATGTTGGGACCCTTTGGAACACTGCGGTCAAACATTGGGCATGCGCAAGAGGTCAATTTTGGCCTGCTGCGGACCAAATTCCCGAGGAAATTTTTTAAGGAAACTTAAGATACAACCGCTTTCAGAAAAAACTGACACTAACATAGAAATCTGTAAAAGGAAACAAACGCTGTGAAAAGAAAAAATTTAAAACTTTTGGAACACAAAGCGTGCTTAGTGACATATGTTTTGGGCTTTGAAAAAGTTTCAAGTTTTTAAAACACTGTGACTTACTTTCTTTTGTGGTTATTTATTACTCTAGTAGACAACTTGGGGAAGTTGGCTTGCGGCTTGTAGATATAAAACCCCTGCGCATGCCCTACGTTTGACAGCTGTGTTGGATAGAAGACCGGACACGAGAAGGGGACAGAAATCGAGCCTACGTCCAAGCATCGTTTCTCTCAGTCTACTGACACCGCTACAAGACAGCTCTTTGTGTCAGTTTTAGTGTTACACATCTAGCAACCATAGACTTTTAGTAATAAATATACGTGAACAAGTACAACACGTTAGTTAATACAGTTATAATTAACATTTTGAATGTACATGCGTGTTGCAATTGTCTTTGTACCAACGTAATCCTCACAACTGTTCTGTAATCGATGTGAAGAAAAACAGAAGGGCAATCTCAAATAATCCAATCCCCAACCCTTTTAACTGCTTGCTTATAGCATGATACTACCTTTCTTGAAAACGCATTGATATATTTTAATATAACACAATACCGTTTCTTACACTTTATAAATCCAATATTCTGTGCAATTTAATAATAAACAGTTTAAGTATTAAATTAGAATACTTCTTGTAAAAATATTCCTCTTATGCATCATGGTTTATTTGGACCCAGCATTACTTCGTACATGACCTTGGTTTCTGAAACAATAAAAATGTTTGGCAGAAAATTGTACATAAAGATCAGAATGAAAATACAACTACATGTTTAATTTGCAGTCTATGACACACAAGTTTTGATCATCATTTCATAACAATTTTCTTACAAAGTAGCCACTGTCTTCAATACACTTCAGGATGGCTGCAAAATCCTGAAGCAAGTCGCAATATTTCTCCAATGGCTGACTAAGTAAATTGACATCTATGGACATTCTAAATTTTTGACTAAGAAGGAATTATTCAAGAGAAAGCATTTTGACTTTGTTTGAACTAATACAATATCTTATATTTTGTTCTAAAAGTCTTCCATACAAAAATAAAATACTTATAAGTATGTTTTCTGTACCCAGTACTAAGCAGGCTCAGTTTGTTTTAAAGGAATATTTTTCTTGAAACACATTTAAGACAAATGGATGATTGATCATCTTTTGTTTTGAATTAAAAGATTAGGAGAAAAATTTGAGTACTGTTCATCATACCTTAATGATCAATGAAAACCTCCCTTTTCCATCTTTCAAAATATGCAACAAGTTGCTAGTGTTTCATGAGTACGTTTGGAAATAACTACAATTTTCAAATGGAATACTTACATAAGGTGTTCTCTGGCCATATTTGCTGCAGAACGTCACTTGACATTTTCGCTTGTGCCCTGTGCGCTGGTCAAAGGACTGGCACATGTCAAATGCTGGAATGTACACATGAAGTGATGCTGCAGTGTCAGAATGGCTGACATTCTCCACACGATGAAGACCTATGCTATCTACATACAAAACAAAAACAAACAGCAGTTTGTACAGAAACTTCCTAAATGACTTATACTTAGTTTCAAAAATTAACATGTATGTTAATGGTTGGACTAAAAATACAAACCAATGAAAATAACTCATGAGTTTTCAAATCTAAATACAAAAAAAGATCTTTAGAGAGCCAATTTTCCAGGAAGCAAACATGATTAACACCTAAAACTACAGCCCTATTTTCATAAAAGTAATTTTAGTGGGTCTGATTAATTCTTCTCAATTAACAACAAGCAGAAGCACACTTTCAGTGAGGATGATAACCCCTTCAATTTAAGATAATTCAGTCACAAAAAGAATTACAAAGCCCGTAAATTACTGAGAAACTAAGCCCATGAAAGAGTGCTGCTCCAAAATCAAGAACAAAACCATGCCCTTCTATGCATGGTATTAATTGCTAGTGTATACTCAATCAGGTGGGTGAATTTTACATACAGTTGGAATCAAAAGGTAAGAAGTGACATTAGCTTGAAAACTTTAATCCTTTAACCCTTTCACTCCCAAGATTGAATTAGTAATTCTCCTTACTATCTGCCATACAATTTTTATGATGTTAGTTCAGAGAATTTGGTGTTGGATCAACTAATAATCCCATGATTGATATTCTTCTTTATTCTCATCACCTACCTGCTTGATATTGTATTGACACTGTAAGGAGAAATTCTGTCTTGGTCACTTGTGGGATTGAAAGGGTTAACCGCTCAGAGTGACAAGCATCTAATTTCTCCCTACAATATATCCCCTGGATCAAGCATTAAGGTGTTGAGAATAACAGAAATGGTCACCAACTAAAGAAGCTCTTGATTGTTAAACAAATTATCCTTGTGAGTACCAGAAGGAAATTATGGAGAATATGAATGCTGATGTAAGGGTGTAAAGGGTTAAGGGTGAGCATTGAAGTTGATCTCCCTCTACCCTTGGACATACCATTGATGTAGTTAACTTCATTTGTCTTATATAATCTTGATCCTGTTGGTTCCAAAGACTTTTCTGGCTCAGATTCTGATGGCCATGCAAATTGAGTTTCTTTCAATCTTCCATCTAACACTTTTAGGAAGCAGTGGGCATCAGCATGATCATGGATAGAACTGAAACAAAACAAATTTCCAATTTCTGAGCACAAATTCCAGTTTTGGAGCATGCTAACAAAACAGGGCACATTCCTATTTGGAGCAAGGTTAAGTTTATTGATCACGACCCCCACTGGTACACACGTAGGGTCAAAGAGGCTATCCATATAAGACTTCATCCCAACAACATTAATAGGGATGATGCAATTGACATTCCTGAAGCTTGGATACGCACAATCAAACAACACAACAGCCGATTTATAAGGACCTATTAGGGAACACCATCTAACAACCACAACAATAATGAGGATTGAAATGCATCAATAGCAGCCTACCAACATGCTACAAATAGGGACATGTAAACAATCAACTTCATGGCCTGGTCAAGACTAGTAATATTGAAGTTGAAACATCGCGATCAACATCAAAAGTGACTATTGTGAGACAAACGAACAATGTTCATTTCCTATCTTACACCACGCTGAGCAATAAACACATATTTCATTACATTGAGGTGATTCAGTACTCCATTTTCTTTGTTAACACTTTCTCCTGAAACAAATACCACAATAGTATTTGGAGCTTTTCCAACGTATTATCAAAATACTGGAAGGTGCCACCTTTCTGCATGCAGACAGTTTTACCATAGATGGTAAATTAAGTCAATATTTTTTTTAGTATTTGAAGTTTTATCAAACACTTCCTTTTAATTTTACAACAGCACTTATCTATGAATGTTACTCCTTAAAAATTGTTCTAACACATGTATTGTTTTCAGAAAAAATGTCAACCTTTTAAAAAATTTGAATTATATCATGTTAAAACATAGGCATGCTATGCATGTGAGAGTTATTTTTTGGGGGCTGGGTGGATTGCTTGAAACATTGTAGGTGATGTCTACATTCTTACAAAAGGAAAGAAGAGTATTAGCATGGAAAAGGACGAAAATGTTGAATTAACTCACACACAGATATTATTTGGTAGATTGTGTGTGTTGTGTGAATAACTGTAACCAGAAATAAACTTTATTGGTGCCATGGATACCTGTTAGTACAACATGCAGACTGCAGACTGGATACAAAATGTAGACTAGGTACAAAATGTTGCCTGCAGACTGCAGAGTGGGTACAAAATGCAGACTGAGAATCTAAAGAGTTTTTTATCTGGTATGGTGATATCATGTCATCTTGCAACTTACCAAGCATCATCAGCTTTCACGATTATTTGCAATATTGTGGAATATTCCTGGCCCTTTTTTTGATGAAAATCGATCGCAACATAATTTCAAACCTTTATAGAGTCTTCTCAATTTGCACGCGAGTTGGTTGCTGTGATGTGAGTACAGATTTTACCAACATAATAAAAGTAGATGTAGATGTAAATGAGATGTCACTATTGAATATTTAACACGCGAAACATTCGAGAAACAGTTGACAGCTTTGCATGTGGTCCGTATTATCATCTTTTTTAAATGGTGTGTTTACTTTGTTGACAAAAATGTGGACCAAAACCAGAAATATGGACCAAGACCAAAAATGCAGACCAAGACAAAAACTGTTCCTTCGACTTGATATATTTTGACATTTTTAGATCACATCACAATAACTTACTTCCATAAATCATTCATTCCACATAGCAAAATCAAATAAACATGCTAACAATGGTATCTGAATTCATCCTTGGTCAAACACAAATGACTCCACAAGATCACTTTCTACAGGCATCGAAAACATACACAAAATCACCCATTTAACAATCCACTCTCTCCGAATCCCCCATTACTTCGTTGAAATTTGAACACCCCTCAAACCAAAGAACAAAATGACACTCTGATTGGTGCAAGATACATACCCTAATGCAGCAATCTGATTGGTGCAAGATACATACCCTAAACAATCTGATTGGTGCGAGCAACATACCACTCTCTGTACGCTAACATAGATGTTATTTTTTTTAATTAAAAAAATAACTCAGAAATAAAAACTTAACATCTGCAAAATGTGAAAGCTCTAATTTAAGTATCTAGTTTGTAGTGATCATGACTCAGTCTTGACAAATTTCTTGATTTCATGGCTCAAAGTTAGCATTGAGCATTGTTCACTATTACCATATTTATTCACTTATAAGGCGCACTTGGTTACAAGATGCACCCTAAACTTTCGAAGACAGTTGTGACAAGTAAGCAAAAATTTTCAGTAATTATGCCAAGCACTTGTCGTCATTCCTATGATCTAAACTTTAAGTTGAAGATCATAGCAGAAGCAGAAGCTGTGAACAACAATCGTGAAATTGCTCGCGAATACGGCTTATCGGAATTGATGGTCCGTAAATGGAGAACAAATCAGATAAAGTCAATGATCAATTTTGTTTGTCTTTTGTTTATTCTTTTAACGGTATTTATTTACTTTCTCACTTCAGGTTATTTGGGAAATTTGGAAAAGTTATATTTTGTTGCCCGAAATACTCAGTTATAAGACGCACCCCAAGTTTTAAGCAGATTTTGATCAAACAAGCATATTTTCTCGTAAAAAATGGTGTGCCTTATAAGTGAATAAATACGGTACTTCTCTTATGGCTTTTGGGTCTCAACCATTTCAAACCGATTTGGATTTGGTCTCTCTTTTGCATGTCTGACATAATCTGAGATGTAGGTAGACTGTATTAGTTGTTCAACATGTTAGCTTCACAAATTTGAAGGTTCAGAGTCACGAAATTTTGCAATACCTTGTTCTCCCATGACTTTCACCTGAGAAATTAGTTTGGAAAAAATGTTTAAAGGAGACCACACAGTCAAGGTATTATTGATTTGTTGTTCTATAAAAATTGTTTTCATGTTTTTTTTATGGGGAGCCATTTGTGCCAAAAATATCAGTCTCTAGGGATAAAACTCAATTGTTAGTGCTAGCATATCAACCACTAGTGATTGAAATCAATTTTTAGCCTTAAAATATCAATCACTTGTGGTAAAACTCTATCATTAGTGCTAAAATATCAATCACTAGTGATTATACTCAATTGTTAGTACTAAAGTATCAGTTGCTTGTGATAAAACTCAATCTTTGGTGCTAAAAAGTAATAATTGCTAGAGATAAAACTCAATCATTAGTGCTAGTATTGATTTGGTATCAATTTTAACTAGAACCAGTCTCCTGCTTGTTAAGCAAAGATGAACCAATCAAATCTTGCTTACTTTCTAATGATCAAGTTTTATCACTAGCAATTAATATTTTAGCACTAACGATCAAGTTTTCTCACTAGCAATTGATATTTTCAGGCCTGGATAGCAATATAAGGAGAATATTCTTTGACTTTCAAGGTGTTCACCATATTCAAAGTTATATGACTGGAATTTGACATTCCTTGTGATTTTTTTAATTCCCATGTCTAAAGTTCTTGATAAATAAACATGCAGACAAAAAAATTTCCGTTGTCCTAAAGAACAAAAATGACCTTTAGAACTTTCATTTGCATGCTATTCACGTGCAAAATGCATGGATGCAATTGGCTTATTAACACATGCAAACCTACGTGTTTAATTTTATATGGACTTCATGATATGTGTAAATAATTACAGTTATCAACAACCGTTTTCTTCCATTGAACTTTTTCATGCATGTTTGTTACTTTACTACGAGTTATGAGGTTGGCAACAAAGAGTGTTTTATGGGAAAAATTCAGACGAGATTGAGATTAGTGACGTCTGGACGATTGTTCACGTCAATACAATTTCGCCGGTTGCAAACGTAGCACTTACTATATGCCACAAAGACTGATAGCTTTCAAAAAAAAGAGGCAAACATTAATTTTTCAATTGAAGTGATACCAGACTAAGAAAAATACATCACGTAAAAGTAAAAAAGGCGTTTCATTCAATGAAACCTTTGGGAGACTAAATTAACCGCAAAGCTTACCTTCCTTGACCTTCTCCCCAGCACAATACGATCACGTTAAATTTGCCATTTCCTTCATCTACCAAGTTTCGAGTGTACCTATGACATAGAGAAAACATTTACAAACAGCAAGAGAACAAAAACTGGTACATCTATACATAGAATAAATAATCCAACACAACGTTAAAAGTTTCCTAATGACCTGTGTGGGTCATATGTAGCATATTTTGCCCAATCCGCGGGATTCGATTGATAGGACTCCAGAAATGAAATAACCTGCTCTACATTGACACAATCGTCGTCAAAAAGAACATGAAGACCTTTCACCACGTCATCTACCGTTATGGGTGGCTCTAAACACTTTTTTGGGTCCATAACAACGGAAATTTTCTCGCGACCAACTACAGGTCTTCGCGGTTCGTCAAATTCGGCCAACGCAATTTACTATACCAAACACGCGCGCGCGCGTAAGGGTTGTTGTCAGTGACGTCACATAAGAGGTTCACACCCCCGACCCCGCCTCCAGATTTTGACAACCCAGGAATAACGCCAAAATCAACAATAAATTCTGTGACCGACTAAGGTATATACGGTATCAACATCCCCCCGCCCGGATCTAAGCTTGGCAGCTTAGCCTAACCTTGTATTTCATCGTTGGTGAAAGAGACTCGCCAGCAACTGATCGGCCTCAAAATGATTGAAGATTAAGAGTTCGTGGATTGACATTTCGAAAAACCCTATTGTATCAGGAATCCTACTAGAATAAATAGAAAAAACATGAAAAATGAATTCATTTTAGTGGAATATGACAAGATTTTCCTTCCATCTTTCTGGGAAAAATAAGCTCACCTTGATTGTGTTGCCATTTGAATAAATAAATCCTTTTCACCTGAAGTTTTCTGGAACAGGAACTATATAACTGCAAGGACTTTCATGATTGAAAAGGGTGCAGAATGCGTCAAGCATGTCCAGGCTTATCTCGCTCTCGGTCACTCTCACAAAGACTTCCATAGATTATTTCAAGATTTTTTCTAATCTACTCTACGAAAGTTACCTTCTTCGTCCCTCAGAGAGTCAAATAATTGTCTCCAGGAGTTTCTTTCTTTTGACGTTCTAGAGAACACGAACAGGTTTTAACCTGAGAAGACGGGAAGGTGATCTATTACGTAGTACTCACGAGACTGATTCACAATACCGAAAATTTCGAATTTGCTTCTGAATTCCCACTACGCGAAGTGAATGTAGCATTTCCGACCCATCCATCCTTTTTCGTTGCGATTTTCGCCCCGCATAAAGCACAGGCGAAGAAAAAAAAAACAATCGCATTGGACATTGTACCCTAAATATTCGGGAGAATAAGAAAGAAACATTAGAAACATTAGCAGCCAGGCCAGATTAACTTGGTAACCGCGCTCTGTACACGAGGTTTAGAAATTTAAAGTGAGTGTTTCACTGTCTGTGAACAAGGCACATTGCTTATACTTTTGTTTCCCTTACTAGCTACTGGTTCTGATCAGTGATCTTTACCGTAATCTAATATGGCAACAACTGAAGAAACCCTGGCTGAGTATGAGAAAATGTTTGCGAACCGTTTTACGAGTGAAGATGAGGAGTACATGAAAACGGTTAATAAGACTCAGGCTTCCCCTCCATGTCTGACAGACTGGCTAAACTCCGGATACAGGGATAGGTAAAGAGCTTTCCTTCAATTTTAACTACGATTTAACCTGTTTATTCTTTTTTAGTAGCCCTCTCAACGGAAAAAGAGACATTTTGGACTCAAAAATATGCATTCGAGGGGTCCAAAATTTCGTTGGCCTCATTGGAAAACATTCCAACATGCCCTGTGTCAAAACTTTGGTTGAGATACAAAATGTGTTTTCTGTGTGGTATGGTTCTCATCTCCTAAGACGAGAACAGCAACTTGTTTTAAGTCTGTAGTTGAACTTGAGGTACATTTAATTCTTTACAAGCTCTATTAAAGATATACATGCATCATTGAGCTGGAAATCCTTCTTTGAGAGTTTCTCAACTTTCTTTTTAAGGTTTCAATCTAAACCCTTTAACTCCTATGAGTGATCAAGACATTTCTCCTTACAATATTGATACAATATCAAGCAAATAAGTTATAAGAATAAAGAAAAATATAAACTAGGAGATTTTAAATTGATCTTATATCAAGTTCTCATGAACATTGTATGGCAAACAGTAAGGAAGATTACTGATGAGATCTGGCAGTGAAAGGGTTAAAGGCCACTTATTCATATCCATGACTGTGTATTTGCTCTCTTACAGCCGCTTTCAAAGCTATAGTGGTGGCAATGACAGCAGGAACTATGAAAGGTCCAGACATGATAGCGGACGTGACCATGGCAGACGACATGGCGAGCATGGAGACCGTCATGGAGGTGACAGACATGATTCATATCATCACCGAGATGGAGACAGGTAAGATCATACTATGAAAAACTTGGAACTTCATTTGTAGTAGGTACACACGGTTTGAAGATTGTTTATTTCTCTTAAAGTAATGTGGAGTGTTACAGGAGTATAGGAGGGAAAATACTAGTATTTTCTCCAAGGAAAATTTTTGCATGATATCGGGTGAACCACATTGTTATATGGAAGCAATAAAAAGTCAGCCTTACAGTGGAGAGATGCGATTGCCTAAGGGTTATTGCACTGGACTCTGGATCCAAGGGTCCTGGTATAAGACCTGAACAGGTCATTGTCTTGTGTTCTTTGGCAAAACACTTTGTCTTGTCAGTGCCTCTCTCCACTCAGGTGTTGTAATGGGTACTGGCAAATTTTCAGGGAAGCCAGGTGAAATGCTGGGGGGTAACCTTGCGATACACTGGCATCCCATTTTACTCCTAAACTCTTCATGCTATGGAACCTTGACTAAGCTGTGGCCACAGACTTTACATTACAGTGCCACTAAAGTTAGGGGGAGGCAAATAATGATAAAAATATAATTAACTATTCATATTACATCATTTTTTTAACTATACCCTGGAAATTTTGGGCGAGAAGCTTGCTATGCCATAGAATGTAAACTTGAATACCAGCCTATGAAAAAGTGCATAATGTTATAAGAGATGCCCTTATGTGCCAATAACTGTTGGGGTAGACATTTTTTGCCCATAGTGTTGACCTGAAAGATCATCAAAACTGAAGAAAGGGTTCTCTTTTGCTTGAATACAGATATGGAGGTCGTTATAGAGATGACCGTGGTCACAGAGCTTACAACGATCGTCAGAAACCTGCAACAGAATATGGTTCTCATGGATACTATGAGTTTTTCTATTGATGGAAGATCTGATATCAGTCAGAACACTTCAGTTAAAGAAACATTGACACTGTGCTGTAAGAATGTATAAGTTGGCTGCTGATGTGTCCAAAGAACTTTTCTTTTAACTAAGATCATCATTTAAAGAATGAGCAAAAGAGGAGCTAGAGAAGATTTCATGGGTGGGGAAAGGGTTTGATGTATTTTTTCCTGCTGCATGGCTGTTCTCTCTCTTCAAGCTCATTTGTACATACTTGCTTTTTTTTTTGCTTGCTTAAACTGAAAAGTATGAACAGCTGTAGACAGGCTAGTCAGCTATTTTTCATGTTAATACAAGACTTTGCCAAACAGAGGCCATACAGCACTTAAGGTAAAATTCAGTCAAATTGTTAGAGCACTTCTTATACAACTGTCTTTGTTCAGTTTTAATTTAGAGTATAGAACATTCTCAGATAGCTGAGTGCAAGCTTTAGATGTGTATGGCTAGACGCAACCTTAAGTTCACTTGTGTCACATATCTGTGTGCCCATTATGTTGACCAGGAAACTATCAACTGGGATCATCCTCCAATTATGGGAGATGTCACATTTATTAACTTGTGTGGTAGACAATCAGATACTTTACTGT